TTTGGGTTTTGTTTGTGGGGTTTTTTTCCCCTGCCTCACTCGAGACTGCTTTGTTTCTGAGCTCTTCGGTGTCAGGCAGCTGTTCTGAGGACGCTAACTGAAGTATTTTTTTACATTTCTGACCAAGCAGCACGCCTCTCATCCACCAGTAACGTATGCATCACTGCATGTGTTTCCCTCCTCTAGATGTTAAGAAAGAGACATCTCTAAGTCTGCTACCTACAGTGTTCTTGCGTAGTGGCGTAAATTGTGGAACCGAAACATCTCGGAACCCGAGCGGTGTCTGCGCCAGACCAGCGAGCCCTGCTCATGAGGCGATGTACCCCCACAGCTCAGTATTTGAATACACAGGTTCCTGTCTGAAACTTGTTGCTCTTCTTTTAAACACTGTTCTGTGGGGTTTTGTTTGCTTGCTTGTTTTTTAACTAGGCTTTAAAGTTACAAAGTTAACTTCAGGTGCATTGGGAGAGTAGAAACAAGATGGGATTCTTTTCTGCATTGCAAATAACGGACAATGCACACCAAAGACGTAGTAATGGTTAGCAGTGAAGATGGAGGATAAGCAACACTACTCTTATAACATGAAGAAAAACAGCCTTCTTCAATTACGGTATTTTTTCTCCCCGACTAAAAGCAAAGTCCCTTTTCTTGCAGAGGTGCAAAGGGTTAGGGTGTTAGGCAGCCCTTAAGGCTGGTAGGTTTTATGAAACTTCTCTAATTTTCCCAGGGATTGTCAAATATTTAGTACTCCAAGGTTGCCCACTTCTTAGTTTTCTTTGTGAGTATTACGGAGTTTCAGTTTTACTCATAGAACTGTTTTTCCCCTGTCAGAGACCCAGCTGTTAGTCATGTGGATTGCCCTTTCAAAAAGGCAGACCCTCAATATTCATAATAATTTATCTGACTTTTCTAAATATTCCAAAATATTAGCTTTTTAAAGTATCTAGTAAGCTTTGTACTTCTGAGTCTGTATTTTTCAATGCTTCGTGTTAGCATTCCTTTTTCCTCCAAGCTGATCCCTCAGAGAAAATCCAAATCTCACAGCACACACAACTCTATTTTAAACAATAGGTTTAACAATAACAGAACCATGCAGTGGTCTAGCACATGGTATTTCACCATCTTGATAAATTAAAAATTGTTCAAAAACATTGAGCAAGGGGAGTTGTGAAATACCAATTCCATTGTATCACTTTGGTCCCCTAACATTTATTTACAGCATTCTGTAGATGCTTATTTGGAAGACAGTCATATATATACACAGCTGTGGTTCTCTGTTCGTGGCTTTCATCACACTTCAGTTCAGGCAAATAATGCCCTGTGCTCAGGTCTGTGGTAGAGGAAACCCTGAGGGACCCATAATATAGCAGGGTGCTCAGTAAATCGTCAGTTGTATAATTATGCAATAACATCAACACATACTTAGCTAGGTAGAAAACAGAATCAAAATACTTAAAACACCTACTGTTTGCCATGTCACTTCGTCATAAATACATTCTCTGGGCAAGACACAGTATCACGCACTGATAAGATAAATTACCCAGCTTATAAAATGTAAGGGATAAACAGGAGGTAAAAGTCTCATGATATTTATGAATACATATAAATGATAGTAGTTGAAGCAAGATGGTCTAGCAAAAGAAACTGTCTTTTGGCACCGTATTTCTTTACCTTGTATGTTTAGACACATCAGGTAAGGTTTTCAAAAGAAGTAATCACGTTTGAAAACTTATTGCAAAACTATATATATCCTAAGCGTGCTAGATGTAAAAGAAGAGCAAATCTTATGCAAATCTCACAGCAAGATGAAGTCACAATTAATACTTTGTACTTGAATTTGAATTTGCCCTTACTTCTGCTTGGGATTTGGCAGCCTAACAGCATACCAGTCAGGGAAGCAAATTCCATTCTTGTACAGCAGGAATAAACCCACCAATACTTCTACTGAATACTATTCTCTGATTTTACACCTGTCAGCATAGCCTTAATATTGTCGCAAAATAGTTATTAATGTTGTAATCCATTGTTCTAATTTTTGGTTAATACGATTTCAACTTAAAAGGGAAAGGTAGTATAATTGCAACAGCAGGAATGAGGCTGTGAGGAAGGACTGAACCACACGGAAGTAGACTCAAGGCAGAAGAGGGGGCAGCATTGTAAAGAAGAGGTAAGAAGAGGCAGCAGCTTGGAAAGCGCATGATATGAGGTGCTTCTTGAAAAACTAGTCTGCTGGGAATAGCACAAAAGAGGAAGAGAAAGCTGCCCATCACTGAGGAATTAAACAGTTAATGTTACCTGTTCCCGTTCTTGGAATAAACTGAAAAATTGTAGGTACAAATTCTTTTTTTTTTTTTTCTGGGGAGAAGGGTGTTTCTAAATTAGTATGAGCAGGTCTGGAAACAAGGCTTTCAACTGTGATCAAAAGGATTACCAATGGTAGGCCAGAAGCACTTGAACATGTATTTGTTTCCCTGAGCCCATCTTCAAGTGATAATAATGCTATTAGACTTGATGAGTCATCCATGAGACAGTCATATTCCTTACATTTTATCCTGGTGCATTCATTACACATACAGCTTGGGAATGGCGGTGCAACGAGCTAGCGTACTTAACGGAAGCAGTGCAGCCACATTAGCACCGTGCTCATGAGGCAGAGCAGCACGCTTGTTATTTTCTTATCACTTCCACAAATCCACAAGCACTCTGCAAAGAACTGTTAGGGCAAGTATGTATGTCTGTAATCAAATGCAAACTTGGCAGAAAGTTTTTGCACCCAGTCCTTAAAACACTCAGAGAATTTGCTTATAGGCCTAGACAAATGCTTAATTCAACCAGAAATAGTACCTTAATGCTGATGGCTGTAAATACCTTCATATTTATAAGACTAATTTATATAGTTATAGACTATATAGACTTATAAGACATATTTATAAGACTCCTACCTGTTGCCAAACATGTTGGTGTTCTTTGCATTTATTACAGTTTTCACTGACTACTAGCAAAGTAAGTTGTCTGATGGTCTGGATCCACATTTTGAAATCCCACTGCAGACACTGGAAGCTGTGGGGGGTATCTACTGAAGTTATGGATGAATGCAGCATTAAAATCTGAAACAGAGCAGGAGGAGATAGGGGTAGCACCAGCAGGTTCTCCATCTAAGACTTTATAAAGTTTTTTGTAAAGTGAAGTATAGTGAGTGCACCAATTTAAAAGACAGGCTCAGAGAGAAAAATATAGGTGTGAGAGGGCAGACACAGCACACGCGGAAGGGGAATAGGCAAGATTTAGCAATTAAAAAGCAACTGTGCCAACTTGCAGCGAAGCACAAAAGAGAGCAAATTATTTTCCAGCCCTGAAAGGAGCGCAGTCCCACAACCTAAATGACTGTTAGCTCACCAGCTATGAAAAATGAAATCAGTGACCTAACTGCCATTAAGATAACCTCTGAAGCAGCAGGAACCTGCATTCAGAGAGCAAAAGGATGTGTTCTCTTGGCATATACAAGAAGACAAGTGATGACTAAGGAAAGGGGAAACTACAAACAGGGTTGGGGGAGGGACAGACTGAACGAACAACAGACTGATTTTGCTTTAGTAAGCAGTTTCATTAGAATGGCTACGAGACTGTTTCTAACTTCATCAGCAAGCCTGAACTTTTGTACCTTTCTGTACAGTCTAGAAAAGATCTTTTACAGAATTATTTCTGTATACTATAAATTAGCTCTGACTGTCCATAACCAGCTGACATAAACCAAAGTTTGGCTTCTGTTCTCTTGTTTAAGTTGTTCATAGCTCAAGCTGGCAGTTTGCTTAGGGTTGTTTAGTTTGGGATTCATTTTTTTAGGGGGAAGAAGGTGAGGTGGAGGAGCTCTGAAGAATTTGTAGTCATTAAATGTTTCAAGTGTTAAGTCTTACTGTTTAAAAGCAATTCTCTATAGTTGCATTCCATTACATTTCAAGTAAGATCAGATGGCCCCAAAATTCTACATAGCAACATGATTGAAAGGGAAACTCAGAGCATCTTTTATGTGTGAAATTTGAATATTCTGTTATTTCAGGATGTTGCCTATTCTAAGCTCTTTGGTCTGAGCTGCCTGATCAGAAGTTTTCCTTCTGATCAGGATCACAACTCTATAATTTCCAGTTAAAGATCTCATTCACTTTCTGCTTTCTCAGCATTCACCTGAGATGCAGCACAGAGAGAAAATGCAGGGGTGTATGTGAAGGGGCCACTCAAGACAATATGATGTGAATGTTGGGCATTAGATAATTACTGAAGAATTATCAGATTAAATTCCTGCTTCATACTTTGCAATAAGGATGCAATAGCTGCCCAGTGTTCATATTCTCAGAATTGTTTATTGGAGGCTGAAACTTCTTTTAAAGCTTTTGCGAGCTTACATGTCTTCACTGTAGTGAACCTTCTGCTATTCAAACAGCTGTCTCCAGCTAGGACAGACACTGTTTGCCTTAGC